CGATCTGGGCTCTCCAGACCCCCCAGCGCACCCAGGAAGGCTCTGACTCTGCGGCCCCTCTTCAGTGAGGGCTTATCCCCGTGTGGCTCCCCTGGAGCCAAAGACCACAGTCTGTCCCCGTGCCAGGTCTCACCCAAGGACCCTCCTCAGATAGGTGTCTGTCATGCAAGGTTTTTTGCTCTGGGGGAGAAGGTCGTCTGCACAGTAAATTGGGGGTTTGGAGGGGACGGGCTGCGGGCGAGGCCACGGTTTAAGATGCTACCAGCACGACTCTGCCTTCCCCCTTTTCCCTGCCTGTTTTGGGCACCCCTAGGGTGCTGCCAGCAGTGGAGCCTTTCCCAAAGCTCCTGACTGCGCCTGGGAAAAAAAAAAATCGCCCCCTTCCAGAGTGATTTTGGCTGTGTTGAAGGACCTGGATTCAGTGTCTGCATCCGAGACTGACCCTCGGCAGCAGCCGGGGAACTTTTAGTTTTCAGCCAAAAACAAACAGGAAGGCAAAATTTTGCGGAGGGGAGAAGGTGTCGGTGTCGATTCTGCATCCGCTGCGTGCCCTCGCCCCCGGCAGCACCCTCCGGCCCCGTGCTGGCAGCACCTTCCCGGGGCTCGCAGCCCGGGCCGCTCCAGGAATTGGCTTTGCAAAGTGCGGCGGTTTGAGCCCTCTCCAGCGGACACCAGAAGCACTCCCAGCACGGCAACGTATAGCTTCCGCTCGGTGCCACCCCCTGACTAACCCCTGTGGTGCTGTGAACCCAGCAGTACAGACGAGGCCTTGTCACTGGAGGACAAAGATCTGAGGGACCGGGAGAGGAGAATGGCCAATAACGCCAGGGAGAGGGTGCGTGTGCGGGACATTAACGAGGCCTTTAAAGAACTGGGACGCATGTGTCAGATGCACTTAAAAACGGACAAAGCACAGACCAAACTGATCATCCTACAGCAAGCGGTGCAGGTCATTCTGGGCCTGGAGCAGCAAGTACGAGGTATGGTAACGGCTGGCAGGTGCCTTTCGGTGCCTTTCTCTCCCC